TCAGCCATAAAGGATCTTGCCTCCATCACCTCCAAAGGTGATGAGTAAAAATACTTTCAGTCTTAAGGTTGAAAATAAGAGTGAATCAGGAAGAAAAAATGCAAGTGATTCTAAAAGTTTGAATTATGTTTAAGTGTGCATCAAGCTGACTTATGTAATATGAGCTATATTTGCATTTTACCTAATTTGTGCTTTGAGATTTTCCTGCACCATAGCAAAGGAACTTGTGTAACTTAAAGGGCAGATTAAGATAATTCAAACTTCTACTTAATGCAAGAATCCTTTTTTTTTGTGTGTGAGGCAATTGGGGTTAAGTGACTTGCCTAGGGTCACACAGCTAGTAAGTGTCAAGTGTCTGGTCTGAGACTGGATTTGAACTCAGGTCCTCCTGACATCAGGGCTGGGGCTCTATTCACTGCACCACCTAGCTGCCCCTCAGGAATCCTTTCTACATCATTCCTGACTGACTGTCAATAGCCTTGTCTCTATAGGAGTACTTCTAATGATAGGATACTCACCATCTTATGCACTAGCCTACTCTGTTTGTTAGAAGGCTCCTTTTTATACTTGGTTACAATTTGCCTTTCTTGTTTTGCCCCCTAGAGCAAGGGTTCTTAGCCTTTTTTTTTGTATCATGGACTCCTTTAGCAGTTTGATGAAGTCTATGGACCCCTTCTCAGAATAATATTTAAAAATGCACAAAATTGCATACATAAGATTACAAAAGAGGCCAACTATATTGAAATAATTATATATATAGATATATATATATATACACATATATAGATATATATGTATATATTTAAAAACAAAGTTCATGGAGCCCAGGTTTAGAACTCATATTCTAGAGAAGGGGTGGGGAACCTGTGGCCTCAAGGTCCTCAAATGTGGCCCTTTGACATAAGTTCTGTGAAGTTTGGATTCAGTCAAAGGGCCACACTTGAGGACCTAGAGGGCTACATGTGGTCTTGAGGCTGCAGGTTCCCCACCCCTGCTCTAGAGTAACTTAGACTGAATTTATCCTCATGGCTACTGTTTTCAAATATTTAAAGACAGCTACTGTGTCATCTTTCCCCTTTAGGCTCATCTTCTCCTTGGCTATCTATCCTTGGGCTCTTCAACCAAGCACTGCAGGAGATGGTTTACAGAGTCATGAAAAACCATTGGACGAAGTCTACTTTTTCAATGTCTCTCTTAAAATTTGGTGTCCAAAAATGAGCAGAACAGGTTCCAGGTATTGTCTGACAAAGGGTAAGTAAAGTGAGATGATTAATTTCCATAATTGGAGTATTAGAATTCTATTAATGCCAACTAAGGTTTCATTCAGTTTCATTTGTGTTTAGAAGCCTCACTATACTGCTGGTCCATGTAAAGTCTCAGAAATATGAAAACCACCAGATCTATTTTCAGAGCAACTGTTTCCAAGCCCATCCCTGGGGCAAGGATTATGATCCTAGAAGTACAGTTTTAGGAAGAAACTTCCTCCCACCTCAAATTATTTCCTTCCTTCCATTGCCTCCAAAGGTGGTAGTAGCGAAAAATAAGCCAAGTGAAAGGGAAACTAGCCAAGGGCACTCTGTTTGTGGGCTGCCATGTTTTATTACAGATATGATGTATAATATGTCAAACACTGAGTATGAGGATTCATATTTCATTCAACATTACAATTTCAAATAATGCTGATGATGAGAATTTCCTCCAATCAATACGGTATTGCTATAAAATTAACAGGTGAATAGCACTGTTTTTTTTTCTTTTAAGGTGGCAGATAAATTTGTTCTACATGGTGTATAGGTATCCATGTGTATATACAAATGCTTCATTTGTAATTCCAATAAGATTTGGTACAGATAAAATATACTAGTAGCCTATCTATTCTTTCTGTTAACATTACTTGGTTTTACATAAGTAAAAAATGAGTTATATTCAAGCAGAGTGCTGATGTGGTGTAGTGGGTACAGAATGTGGCTCACAGTTAGGACAATTTGGGTTCTAGTTCCTCCTGTGACTAGCTGGGTGGCCCCAGGAATATGTCAATGCTTCAGGCAATTTCCTAACACTATGAGGCGCAAAGAAGGTGCTGATTTATTATAACACCTATCATACTAGCTACGAAGTGATACACATAAGACATTTACTAGACGATTTGAGATATTCTTTCTTGAGTGTAAAGTGATTTGCATAATGGCATGTTAATAGAGACTTCCATTTCTTACTACTTCTAGAACTATCCCAGCTATTTAATGACTGTAGTAAAAGAGCAGGGAGTAATAAAATAACAAAAGAAAATAAAGTCCTGTTAGCACTTAGCAACACATATGAAGCTGACTGAAATATGATGTTGTAATATTCATTTCACTATGAATTGTAAATAGCGATACCACAGGTCTCAAGAGATAAGATACAAACTCAAATTTTCTAAAACGTGGGGTGCATTTGAGGGGAGGAGGGATAAGACACTGTAAATAGGTAATGGTATGGATTTTTTTTTAGTACAACTCCCACATATTTATAACCCTAACCCTAAATATATCCCACGTTTTCAACAAAAACAAAATTCCAATCAAAGTAAAAAATACATCTAAATGAGCACAGCAAATTTATTCCAATGGGTATGTGTTGGGGAGGTGGGGTTAATAAGAGTGCACCATTACTGGGTAGGCAGTGAACCAAGACATAGATGACAGTGGATGATTTGCATCATGACTTTCTCTCCTTCCCACATTCCAGGGTGGCTCCATGCAGATGGAAGGTCCAATCTCTTCCTCACTCCATTGGACACCAAGCAAATATACCCCACCTCAGTCCTGCTAAACAGACCCATGGAAGTTCCCTGAAAGGCAGGGTTCCACATTCTATGGGCACCTCTTACTCAAGCCTGAGCCAGGGGTGTCAGACTGCCTAGGGTTTGATTAAGTCTGCTAATAATAATTCTCAGGAAGGAGGGCAGGGTAACAACCTCATACGTTTGCTCCACCTATGGTTCCAGCTACTGGGGCATGTCTTAGTGCAGAGATTTAGACACTTAAGAGGCCATCGCCTTTTCTTTTGAGAGAAGGCTTGGTATGGCAGAGTTGAAGGACCTGGGATGAGATCCTGGCTTTTCTCTATTTGCTACCAGAATAGACATTATCATCTAACAGAATTTCTATTCCTACCCATATTAATTCCAGTTTTGCTCATAAACAAGCCGCAGTGAAAAGACCTCTGGATTTGGAGTCAAGAGAAATTGGTTCAAATTTTCCCTCTTTTGTTAACTACCCAGGTGGCTTTGGACAAGTCACTTAAATGTACTATCTGCAAAATGAAAGCATTAAACAGCCCCTTCCAGCTCTCAGTCTAGGATTTGATGAAGCTGCATTTGTCTCATTTAAACTATGTCCTTGTATGTACCTTAAGAGTAACTGATGCTTAATAAACATGGAATGGAACTCAATTGTCCTGGGTGCCCAAACCATGTAAAATGGTATTCAATTAAAAAAAAAAAGAAAAGAGATTAAGAGAAAAAGAACTAAGATAAAATGACTGTCATGAAGGGGAGAAGAGGAGAAGTTAGGTCAATCATAGAATCCATATTAAGCAGAAATAAAGAATAGCATTGAACTTTTTAAAGGATGTCACTAGATAAACATAGTCTTTGATTTGATTAATGTAGTAGGAAAGAAGACTAGGGTTGAGAGGGGAAATCCTTATTCTTTTTTTCTTAAAATATAGAACTTATAAACTTCTGCAGGGTTTTTAAACTGGGAATCTGGGAACTTTAAAAATTTTTATATATTTGCTATTTGCTATTTAAAATTTGATAACTATTTTAAAATGGCGTTCTCTGTAAATCTACATGTTTTATCTTATGCATTTAAAAACATTATTCCAAGACAGGAGCAATAGGTTTCACTAGCCTGCCAAAGTGGTTCTATCATACAAAAAAAGGTTAAGAACCTTTGTCCTAAAGTTTGAATAGTCACATGCTTAAAAAAAAAAGCTTTCACTTTAGGTGGAAGTGAATGTTTCTTAATATGTCTGGTTTCATTGTAACACTATCAAAACCTACCCCCTAATAAACTTAACCACGAGTTTTTTTAAGTGCCTGCTTTCTGCTAATTTATAAAAAGCAGAATCCTGTCAGATAAAATTTCATGAAAATGATCTATAAACCAGACTGTCAAAAGTGAAAGGTACTCAGGGCAGTACTTATGGACAACAAATACAGCAAAACCACTGGAAAGGTTTCCCGTTACTGCAGCAACTGAAAGCATGGTAACACAGCTCACGTTACGTGGATTTGCAAGTTACTGTGAGGTCACAGGAAATCCTGAAATGTTTTCCACATTTTCTTTCATACATTTTATGTCAAATTTCCTGCAACTGAAATCATAAACCATCATCCTGCTGGAACTTCTTCTGAAAGAAAGGAGATCTTCTGACACTCCCTCCCAAACACCTAATAACTCAGTTCCTACTCCTGTAATAAGACACTGAAAGACAGGATTGAAAATGGACTATGATAAGGCTGAAATGTCAAATGTGCTGAATCTTTCCTAATGAAAACCAAACTGATATCATTAAGACCATTATAAAAACTACATTTAATGGGCCAGTGAATGCCTTTTTCTAGAAAGAGTAACAGCACACATTATTATTTTTAGTTAAGTATATGTATATACTCAATATTCCTCCAATTTCAGATTCAAGATGTATAATTGGCTTTAACTGCACATTTTATTGTATAATCTGTGTGTGAGCAAGTACATAAATGTATATACAATGTTTCCAGTTCCTTACAAAGTACTTTTTATTATTCCTCAAATGATTATGAGAGGATAAATAGAGCATGTGAAACTTGGAAAAGTAAGTGTTCTTACAAGATTTATCACTTATAACTACAGAATTCAAAAGCAGTTCAGGCCAATGAAAAAATGATGCTAAAATGTGAATATTTCAGAAGTAAAATAAAAACTGTGGGTCATCATTTATGGACAAGAATGTTTAGCATACATTACCTCTCCCGACATATCAGGTGCCATAGGAACAGCAGGCCATAAAGATGAGTAGATTCCAAAAAACACCACCCAGAGTGCAATGCTGCCCCAGATTGCTATATGGCTGAACTGTAGGGGGAGGGAGGAAAGGGGAGAAAAAGAGGGTGTTGAAGTTAATACACTTTTTTAAAAAAAGTGTTGGATTATTATTTCAAGGAAAAGATGCAGATGTAACTTTTGTAAATCCCTTCTAGCTCCTGATTTTACCCCAAAAGGATTATTTTCAATATTTTGAAAATAATCTTTTTTTTTCTCCCTAAGGGTTATATGGCTATGCAGTCTCTCACCAAATGCCATTCTCCACTCCAACCCCACAGTCACAATATATACACTACTAGAGTTATAAACTAAATGAGAAACTTGTGTGTGCATAGTAAATGGAAGCCAAAGGAAAAATGTCATTTCACATAAACCACTAAGCTCTAGAGAAAAAGTCTCAGTTGGATTAATCAAAAATGCTGCAGAATAAAGAGAACCCTAGTGCGTATGTGATCAGAAGTCATCTCTGTAATATATTCAAATGAGGTCACACCCTACCAGCTTTTAACCTCGGAATCAACTTAAGAATCTGCAGTTTTGTTTCAATTCATCATTAAATCTTTGTGTTTTCTTCTCTACAACATCTTTTGAATTTACTCCTTTTGCTGCCCCCTAAATGTCCCTTGTACATTTAAGAATTGCTCCTTTTATATGACCTATCAAATAAAATGTTAACTCTGTTGTACATTGCACCAGCCTCATTTCTTAAAACTTAAGATAAATTGTCAGCTCCATCCAAGCAAACTTAGTTGCTCGTCTCTTTGCTTTGCATATACCATCCCCTTCCTCTAGCTGCCCTACTCTAATCTGGAATTTTATCTTTGGATGAATTCATGTCATTGCCTTCAAAATTTTATTCAAAAATACCTCTTCAAAGAAGCTTTTCACTGATTAACGTAATATCGCTACAAGCATACCCTTTCATTCTATATCAATCTTGCATTTACAGATTTGGTGTGGGCTGTATTCATGTATACTCAACAACATTTTGCTGGATGGGTTTCTGGCTTACACTTTCCCTTGGGCATGTTAAACAACTAAAAGTTTTGACTGAAATTTATTAAAAAGCTTTCTCTTACACTTCAGCTTCTTTGTACAAATTCCTGAATCAGGCCTGTAGGACTTGACTAGAGAATAATAAGACCTTGGTGAGCCTTGACCCATGTTTTCTGTTTTTTTTTGAGAGGCAGCATAGGACTGACTGGAATTTAGGCAGTGTGGGCTCGAGTGTCTGATCTGCCACTAACTAGCTGTGTAGTCAAGAGAATCTAAAGTTCTTTGAAGTCAGGGACTATTTAGTTTTTGGTCTTTGCATCCCTAGTACCCAGGCACAGTGTGGCACATAGCAGATGCTCAATAAAAAACTTTTTTAATTGATCCATGGCTATATTAAGACATAATAATAATTGCTCAAATGTAAACATGTTGCTTTATGATTTCCAAAATATTTCACTGAGCTTCCATTTCCTCACTTGTAAAATGGGTTTTACATCCTTCACAATTCTAGAAGTCTGAGATTCCTGGATTTTTGCATCCTTATACCACACCCCACATAACAATGTGCAATGCCAATGGCAGTGAAGTTGCCAGTCAGTGCTTATGACTGACTACTTAGGGCTCCACACAAACTTGTAAAATAGTCAGAATCTTAGAATTTAAATGTCAACTAATCTATGATGATGAACATTACCATCATACTTTATTTGGCTGTTGTGAGTACCAAATGTGAGAATGTGTATAGAGTGTTTTATAATCCCAAAACAATATAAAAATGTGAGAAGTGATTATCATCATCATCATCATCATCATCATCATCTCTCTCTCTCTCTCTCTCTATATATAAATGTATATACATATATACATACACACATACATATAGGTAGGTAGACAGATAGAGGTAGAACTGGTTTGTCATTATCCACAAGCAGACTGTTCAAATTATGATTCAAACCATTTGATCAATGTTTATTTCTAACTTCTTGTTGATTTAGAACCTTTGTTAATATATTCAGTTCCAGCAAAGGCAAATTCCCACTTGTAGCTTACACCCCTGCCATGATGGGAAAGAAGGAAAAAAAAACTATTAAAACCAAAACTTTCAGTTATTTTGCTTGTGCTGGGAAAAGCTGGAAAGCTAAGAGGCTTGAGGAATGGAGTGAGGTCTCCATCAATTGCTTTGCCTTAGACTGAGAGCTGATGTAGTCTGTCTCCAGCATGTAACAGAATTGATTTTGGGGCAGGAGGGAAAGAATATGGGGACTCAGGATTTCTTTACTCTCCCTGAGTTGGTTTGTTTAAAGTGGAGCTTCAAAAGATGGAAAGAGCATTGAACTTAAGTCTGAAGACATGAGTCTTAGTCCCAGATCTGTCACCAGCCTTGAGACCTTGGGCAGATCCTTTCAGTATACTCATCCATAAAACAAGGGCAGTAATATTTGTACTGCTTATAGAATGGGGTTGCTGTAAGAAAAAAGTTGTATAGTGGGAAGGCATTAAATGTGATCTATTGTTATTTGTTTTGCAGCATTATGAATTTCCAAGTTGGACATAATCATATTTACTTTAAAAAGACCAAACCAACTAGAATTCTTTTGGATTATTTGCTGTTTTGAATTATCCATCCTACTCCTTGTATTAATTAGCATGGGTATTTGAGAATGAACTGTATATAGACGCTTATCTAAGAATCTAATGGTAACTTGCTGGATTCAATTATAGAGTTTCAACTATAACAAAGATATCATTTGACATTTATATTTCTATGGCTCTGGAAAATCACAAGTTGAGATACAAATTACCCTACTATGAGAGGTTAAGTGCCAACATCGTCAAATCTAACTAAGAATTCAAAACTCTCAACCAAAGCATGGAAGTTACTAAGTTCTTGAAGACTATTTTAGTGGAGTATAAGTTTTGGCAGAGCCTATAAAAAGCTGGAAAGACTGTCCACAGTGACTGAAAATTACCCAAAGAAAAGGTTCTTTACCAGAAGGCTAACCAACAAGTAATGAACTGTGCCCAAAGCAATTCATGAAACCAGTTACTGAGGCCTGAGGGAATTTTCAGCTACATTATTTGAAGGAGTATCCACATTGATAAAAATCACAGATCTTTGGAAGTACTCAACAGCCAATGCTAGGTAATGCCTAAAATAAGGAAGAAAACCCAGCAAATTCATAAATGGTGCATGAGTCATCCCCTCTTTCACTTATTTTTTTTCTCTTCTGCCACCCCAACTTCTTTTAAGTTCCAACTAAAATCCTGCCTTCTACAGGAAGCCTTCCCCAATCCCTCAATTCCAACACTCTTCCTCACTTACTCATTTATTAATCCTGCATATAGTTTGCTTTGTATATATTAGTTTGCATGTTGCCTTCTTCATTAGATTGCAAACTCCTTGAGGACAAGGCCTGTCTTTTGTCTATTTTTGCACCCCAGTACTTTAACACAGTGCCTGGCACACAGTAGGTGCTTAATACATGTTGATTGATTATATGTTTACATTTCTGTTTACTAAACTAATTGCTTATTTAAGTAGAGCTTCTTGCTTTCATTATTTTAAATAGTGAAATATAAAGATTAGCTTGCTTGTAATGAAATGAGATGTGAAAAACCAAACATTTGTGAAATTTAGATGTAATTAAATTTAAAGATTTAGTTAAATTAAAGCTTTAAAAATGTGGATAATAATCATGACACTCTTTCTTAACTACTTTTATGAACATGAGCAAATAGGCACAATGAGAAAATTTGCTAATTATTTTCACTGCTGCTATTACCTGGTATTAAACTTTTAGACACATTCCAAAAGCAAGAATAATAGTGTGATGAGGGACTTTGTGAACATTATCATAAATTATACACAGACACACATATTTATATTTGGCATCTGAGTGTCAGTATAGTAAAATCGAGAGGCATTGATCACATACTATCATAGCCATTATCTTTCCTGACTTTAAAAATATTATTGACATCTTATATTACCTTTATTTTATAATAGACTCCCTTTCTTCCCCTCTCCAGAGACCCAATGCTTATAACAAAGAAAAAAATCAGCTCTGCAAAACTAACCAAGAAGTCAACGAAATCTATATGTTGTGTTCCATAACTATAATGTCTCACCTCTGCAAAGGGGGGAGAGAAGTACATTTTTCTTTTTTTTTTTTTTTCATCCCTTCTTCAGGGCAAACATTGGTTATTTTAATCACCAAGATCAGTGTTCAGTTTTTTTGGTTTTTTTTTTTTTTTGTTCTTTCCTTTTACTTCTGTGGATACTTGCTTCCTGGCTTCTGCTTATTTAATTTTGTATCACTTCATATGCTTTCACTGCTTCTCTGTATTCTTCATAGTCATCATTTGTAACTGTACAGTAATATTACATTATATGTATGTACCACAATTTATTTAGCTATTTCCTAAATGATGAGCACATACTTTATTTCCAACTTTTTGTTGCTATCAGAAAGTACTGTTAGGAATACTTGGGTGTATATGGGGCATTTCTTTCTGTCCCTGAACTCCTTATATACCCAGCAGTGAGATTTCAGGGTCAAAGGGAACAACCATTTTAATTGCTTAAAAGAACAATAACACAGTTTCAAATTGCTTTCAAGAATGGTTGGGTCATTTCATAGCTCCAGCAACAGTGTATTATTGTCCTTCTTTCCTCTCCAGGCTCAACTCTTGACTCCCTGGGCTTCTTTCTCCACTATGACAGAGCATCCTTCTTACCCTAGAATATCACTCTGCTCCAGCAGCCACCTGAATGTGGAAGATAACTCAAGCCCTGACTGATTGGTTTTTTCCCAGAACTAGTATTTAAAGGAAAGTGCCCAGGCCAGTTATGTCTTTAATTCTTTGCAGGTTCCATTCTTGATTTGTTGGACTTTTTCCATCACACTCCACTCCACACTCCTGCAGGTACCATCTTCCTCTCCCCCTCCCCCTTTCCCTCCCCCTTTTCAGGTTTCTTTTATTTGTTGTCCTCTCCCATTAGAATATGAGTTCCTTGAAGGCAAGGACTTCATTTCTTTTTGCTTGTATGTGTATGACTACTGCTTAGAACCATATCTGGCACACATTAAATGCCTCTTAGGGCAGCTAGGTGGGACACCGGGTAGAGTGCTGGGCCTGGAGTCATAAAAGGCTCATCTTCCTGAGCTGAAATCCAGCCTCAGACATTTACTAGCTGTGTGACCCTGGGCAAATCATTTAACCCTGTTTGCCTCAGTTTCCTCATCTGCAAAATGAGCTGGAGAAGGAAATGGCAAACCATTCCATTATCTTTGCCAAGAAAACCCCAAATACAGTCACAAAGAGTTGTATATAACTGAAATGATTCAACAACAATAACAACAGCCACAAAAAAATGCTTGTTAACTTGATTTGACTTGACTCATGCAACCTCTTCAGTATAAAGCATTGTCATCTTTTGTCATCTTTGGCAATTTTTTGGATGTGTAGTGAAATCTCAGAGTGGTTTTGATGTGCATTTCTGGCTTATTCTTCTGAATTTCACTATAAATTCAAACGTAATTCTATAATAGGAGATTGTATGAATAACTTCTATTGTAGGAATAATGTTTTACGGAACTTTTCTTTTTAAATGTAATGCACAAATAAAATTATTTAATTATAGAAAATAATCTCATGAGCGAGGCTAATATGAAAAGCACATATAAACATTACTGGAACTGTTTCTTTCTTTTTTTTTAAATCACTGTTTCTTTAAAAAAAAAAAGCCCTTTCTGCAGTAAAACCCCCCAAAATTCTTAGCAATGAGTTATGCTTTTAGAAATTGGGGATGACTGCTCCAGACATCTTTAGGAACCTGAATGCTTACTCTTCTGTCACTGACTGACTTGAAAAAGCTCTTTTTTCCCAAAGGAAAAAAAAGAACATCAATTATGAAAAGTAAAATGTAACTTCCCATTGGTATGAGAAAGGCATGAGGCTTTAATGTTGCTAGAGAAGCCATTTTAAAGTTTGAATTTTCATAAAGTAGAATATTTCAAACACTTAAGAGATGAAGATGTTCCCTTCCACTGTACAAATAACAACCTGCCCATACCATCTCATCAATCTGGTCCCTGCCCTTCATAAATTCCCAAAAGATTATCTCTTGATTCAATTTATAATACTACGAGACATTCTCCAACAATTAGATGGTTAAAAGACATGAACAGGCAATTTTCAAAAAGAAGAAATCCAAGCTATCAATAATCACATTAAAATGCTCTAAATCACTAATAATAATAGAAATGGAAATCAAAGCCACTTTGTGGTTCTACCTATCAGATTGGCAAAGAGGATAAAAGGGAAAAATCACAGCAACAAGTCATTTCCTGTCTCATAAGACATAGCCAATGCCATTTTTGTAACGATCAGTGTTTGCCACCTCTAACATCTTCTGACTCTTCTGGAAAAAAAAAAAACAACAACAAACTTTGGTACTTTCAATAGACATTTCTGCCCTTTGGTATCTTCTCTTTCTTACTCCTGAACTCTGGTTTTCAACATATTTTTTTACTTTCTTCTTCTATGACTATATTTCTATTTAACTCATTAAATATCAATGAACACATTCACTTATTTTAAATGATGCTGTCTTTGCATAATTTCTCTACTTCATCATCCTTTGCTACAGATGTTGACACTCATCATAATTATCTTCATTATTATAGGTATGCTATTTAAAAATGTGTGACCAATGTAATCCATATTGTATGTTTTAAAATAGATACAAATTGAAAAAAAATCAATTAAGAGATACTGCAGGAGATGATTTTAACCTAACTTTGAAGTTTTTGTAAGTGAAGTGAATTATCTGATTAAAAAGGAAATTAAGCATAAGAACTATATGTGTGACTTCATTGGTATGAGAAACTGTCTACTTGTGCAGTTCAGTATCTTTCCTAGAAATCACAGTCTTAGCGAGTTGCTCAGAGTACTAAAAAGCTCAACAACTTGCCCAGGATCACATAACCACTATGTGTCAGAAGTGGGATTTAAGCTTGGATCTTCTTAGCTCCAAGACTGGCTCTCCAGTCACTGTGCCAAGCTTTCCAGATACTATGAGACTAAGAAATTAAATTTTACAAATATATTTTAATCTTTCTAAAACTGGAATGAAACTCAAGAAATAAATATATTTAATGGCAGACAAGAATATTTTCTGAAGCAGCATCTAAATCACATACAGAGTAAATTCTAATATTTGAATGAAATGTCTGATCTGAAACTATAGTCATTAACTAAAGTTGTTAAATCTTTCAGAAAAAATGCATTGAAAAGAAGATTACTTGGAACTAAAAATGAATAAAAGTATTTATTATAGATATTAATGATAATGAAATGTTGTCATTGGTCAGAAATAATCAACAAGAGTTGAAATGGGCATTCTGTTTATATAAGATAAGATATTTAGTCCTTATTTATGCAAAGTTTTAAAAGTCTTTATAAAAGTAAAATTTCCACCACCTCTCAGTCATCTAACATCCCATTATACAACAGTACCTTGTTACATGAGAAAAACAGTGATGTAACAAGATTATAAGTACATTGTATTTCTGGTCAGTAAATTATAGAAATAAATAATTTGATGATAATAAAAAGTATAACAGAAAACTTCAAGACTGCAAACTCATAATAAGCAGGGACCGTCTCTACTGGGTATAGGTTGGAATGGATGGTCTCTGAGGTCCTCTACCATGCTTAAATTCTGTGACCTGACCTGCCGTTGTTATATACAGTGTTTGAGAGCAGTAATGCAAGAATGATGATTGCCATGGGGTTCAATGGAAAGTACAATGGATTTGAACCAGAAGACCTGGGTTTTAATGCTGAACCTGCCATTTAATGCCCATCTGATCCTGAACAAATCTCCTAATTTCTCTTGGCCTCAATTTCCATTTTTGTCAAAAGAGGGAGCTGGACCAGGTAATCCCCAAGATTATTTTCAATTATAAATCCTATGACCCTAAAATGCTTCAGAAATAACTTTTGATTTTCCCTACATAACAAACGTACACACAATTATTAGGAAAGGCATATTTGTAGAGACAAGCATGGCATAATGGATAGAGAGCTGATATCAGAGTAATGAAGACCTGGGTTCAAAGCCTGGCCCTGTCACATTGTTGCTATCATCTTTGAAAAATTACATACTCTCTATGTACTGCAGAAAACTTAATTGAAGAGCAGATGCCAATAGGAATTGGTAGAAGTTTTGTCACGAAGATTTCCCTATATCAAACAACAGGTCTAGTCTTAAGACAATTATATAAAATTATTGCTATTTTAAAAATGTATCATTTCCCCCAGGCATATGTATTTACATGGAGTTCAGATTTTTAGCAAGCTCCACACTGACAATGAACTCTTAGGTAAGCAGAAGGGACCTCTGTGCACTAAAGAAAATAATTACGACGAGGCCTATGAGCTTTACTCAATTGAAAAGGGAAGGGATCATGTTCAAATCCTTATCAATAAAACTGCATATAAAATAATGTAGCAGGGTAGAGGTAGTGAAGAACCAGACATAATTGAGAAATGATTGCTAATCAAGAGGAAAAAAAGAAAAACTATTAAAAAGCAAGAAACTTCAGTGGTACAACGATTTAGATAGTTCAGCAAACAGCCCCACAGATACTTTTAATATCCCTAAGGGCATCAGTGTAATAGTACAGTGATCAAAGTTCAAATTGTTGACTAATTCATTAAGAAAGGGTTCTTTTTGAGCATTCTGTTTAAAAAGACAGTAATATATATTTTTTAGGAACATATTTTATAACAAATGAGTAAAAATTTGGATCCATAGGTGTGTGAGCCTCTATTATCTGGAAAATTCACATATTTGGAATATCTGGTTCTTAATTTTTATCTAAACTTGGTATTTCCCTCAGCCAGTAGCACATAGCTCATGTTGAATAAATGTTTGTTGAATGAATTATGCTGGACAATATAGACATTTCTGCATGTGCACATTATAACTACATTTTCCCATCATTCTTTAATATAAGGACACTTTATGTTTTTGGAAATCACATAATTAGAAATGAAAAAGAAAAAATGGTAGCTATCAACACATACCATAAAGTGCATACAGCTTTTTGTCTTAATGTAAAATGTCCTTACCAAAGTCCAATATGATGTCTCCAATCCAGCTTTCAAACACACAGTGATCACTACAAACTAAAACAAAAAGTTAAACTGGTTATTTCATTTCACTGCCATGACTGTTTTATGATATAATAAAAAATTTTCAAAATGCTAGCTATTATTCAGTTCATCATAGGAACAGCTGGTTACTTGTCACTCATCTTATAGATTTTAAAGCTGAATAGGATCCTAGAGCTCATTTTATCCAACCCCTTAATTTTAAACGTGAGGAAGCAAAAGGTCTTATAAGTGACTTGACCAAATTCATTGCATCACAGCAAACTCTCAGAATTTTTCTAGGTTTGTCCTTAGACAAAAGATCTATCATACAATAAATGTCCAGACTCAGACCCAAAGCAATGCTAGTGAAAACACCTGCCATGGCTTTTGTTGGCACCATTTTAGTTATGGAAGTATACCTCCATGCCACAGTTAGGTATTAGAATAAGACTTTAGGGAAGCTAAAGTTAGAGTAAGATTTTTTTAAAGATCTAAAAATTGTGTAACAGTAGAGAATTCATATTATTATTTTGTATTTGAAAGGCAACTTGGTTTAATAGAAAAGGCATTGGGCATGAAATCTGGAGAGATCTGCATTCAAATCCTAAATGTCTCCTTTTCTAGTCATATGACCGTGGATAAATCACAACCTTCTCTCAAACTTAGCTTCCCCCTACATAAGATGAGTATGACACTACTTATAAAACTTTCTCCTCAAAAAGTCTCAAAGAATCACAGATTTAGAATCGGAAGGAACTTCAAAGATATATTTTGTAGATGAAACAGGCCTAATGAGGCTAAATGGCTTGCTTGAAGTCACAAAGGCAGTAGGTAGGAGGGGCTGCATTCAAACCCAGGTCCTTGGACCCTATATTCAACATTCTCTTTCTTCCAGCACCTAGCTTAATTGTGGAAAAAGTCCTTTGTAATCATTCAAGTGGTATAAAAATCTTAAAGTACTGCATAAATCGTAAGGAACTATAAAATATTTGTTATTGTTTAAAAGAATGTTAATTTATTAAAATTCAAAATATAACAATTTTATTTTTAAAAATCCCAGTGACTTGAAGACCTAACAAAAATCATGAATTTATACATTTATTTTTAAAATTTATACATTTAAAAATAAAAATTAGGTGGATAAAGAATAAAGAAATGTTTTTATTTATAAAAAGGAACAAAAATGTTTAGACTCACAGTGTAAACAACATTTCCCAAGAACAAATAATCAGAAGTTTTTCCATTTCCAAATACGGTACCTGAAAGAAAATAATTTTTTTTAAAAAGCAATTTTTACTTTTTTCAACACTTTTTTATTCCTCAGAACATATACTAATATAAGAATATTACAATTATGTGTATAGCCAAATTTATTAAGTACATACTATCTGCAGGAAGATACTGTGTTACACACTGTGGGAGAAACTTTAGAGAAGGTATAGTCATTAGGCTTATAGACTTTACAATAAATATCTCATATTATACTCAACAAGAGGTAGACAGATATACATGTGGTAAATAATGTTAGATATATGGGCTAATGTCTAATTAACTCACCATTACTAATCTCCAAATTTGAACTTATTGCTAGTATGCTTCTGGACCCATTAAATTATGTACACCAATGGAAAAGCAAACGTAAGTGAGCAATCAGATTCAAGATATGTGTACTCAATGGACTTAATTTGATCAAAGTGGCCATATTTCTGACCAGGCAGAAATTCCTATGCATTAATATATCATTGATATGAAAGATGAACAGGAGGCAATTAAGATAACTACTATAATGGTTCAGGCTGATAGTTATGACGGCATGTGCTCTGGGCCCTTGTGCCAAAGTCTCCGAAGGGTTTATTTTCTCAAATGCTTTTTATTGTTTTGTGAGATAAGTGTAATGATCTAAGTTCACCCATACCCTCCATAATGTTTTATAAATGAACTTAAATTCTCAAATGATTTTGGCTATCATGTCACTCTACTTGGTGAGGAAATTGTGCTGTTTTGCTGAAGCGGATTCTGGGATCTTTTAGTTTCCTTGGTTTGCTGATTGTTTCTCACTGGTGGAGACTTTTCTAAGATTCAATATGTTTAATTTTGTTATTTTTCACTGTTGATAGCCTGTATAATCAGGTCAGGTTCAAATTGTGGTAATTATAAGTGTTTCCTCATCTCATCCTTTTCTTCTGTAAGGTGCCTTTCTTTATTTGGACATTTTGCTTATGAAAGAGACAAAAACAATGACAGTTATTTGGGAAAAAACAAGTTCTCGGGGAAAAAAAGTGCTTACTAAAGTCAAAGATAGCCAAAGTTTCTTATTTCCTAGCAACTCTTTTTTGGAACTATTATTGTATTTGAAAATATTATTTTGGAACATTTTGGAATTAAGATTTTGAAGTTGATATCTAGGAAATCCTCATAACTTTTAGGGAGAGTAGTATAATTGTATGTGGCCTATTTATGCTGTGTCTCACAGAAATAGGAATTTTGATTTCTTACCCTATAACAGAGGTATGTCACTTCAAATACAGAGACCTTGCTTTGAGGCAGGAATCAATCAGTGACTAAAGAAGCAAAGCAGGGGAAGGTATACTGCCCCTCACATCCTGAAATCAGCCAAGCCCAGCTGAGTGTAGGGCTTAGAACTAATTCGAACCCTATGCTGCTCAAAAGGAGATCAGCTTGAGTGGATGTCTCAAAGAAAGACAGCCTAAGAGTTGAGAGAAGAACTTAGATCCTGCCTTCTCCCTACCTCCCCTCACTGTACTGAATAGAGGAAGCCAGAATTTTGAATCTGTAGTTGAGAGGTGAGCTCTCTGGGAGAAGCAAAGTCTTGTCTGCCTTATGCTTTACTTCCACCTAAGGTCAGAGAGAGGGGAGGCTCCTCAGAGGTGTGTCCGTCCTGACCTTTATTGCCACCTATGGTTTGAGACAGGGAATCCCTTCAGAGCCCATTCAAGAAAGTAGACACGAACACCTTTGAAGATCCCAGGTATGCCTTTGCTGAAAGAATATGATACAGATTTTAGAGTCTAGTCAAGGAACATCTCCCTTGGAGTAACTAGAGGAGAGGTGACTTAGCCTAGCAGGTGACTTTTGATACAAATGATTCGTTAAGATGATAAAGGACTCTAAAACCTTCAGTTCAGAGGCATGACTCGTCCCTGGCAAATGAGTTATCCTACTTACGTGCCTGCTTACTAGGTTTTTGGGAGTTTGTATCTAAGCTTCTGTACTGACATTGTGTGCATTGGTAAGAGTCTGTAACCCATAGAGATTGACTGTTTTGATTATCCTTAACTTTGCATTTTGTGTAGTAAATGTTTCTCGTCTAAGAGTTAATGGTATTATCTTGCCTAATCTGTTGTGTGTAGTGGGGGCATAGCTTCCCCATACCAGGGTGACCCTTAGAAACCTGTGAGTTAAGTAGTATGACCATCTCAGAACTGTTCCTCCTTGGCCCCTCACCTCCTTTCCAGGACAAATACAGGTAGGGGAGCACAAGCCCCAGCCCAGAGAGAGTCTAGAGAGGAGGAGTGCACTATCTTCTAATTTGGTATTTTCCATTGTCTCAATCCAGACAATGATTTTCACTGTATAAACAACTGATTCTAAAATGACTGCTTTGTCTCCATTGAATAGTTTCCTGTTAATGAATTTCATTCATTTCTATGATGCTTTCATTTTTCATTCACTGACACACCCAGTGGCTTCTGATTGTCATCTATTTTTTAAAAAAAAGAACAATCTGGGGGCAGCTAGGTGGTGCAGTGGATAGAGTATCAGCCCTGAAGACAGGAGGACCCGAGTTCAAATCCGGCCTCAGACCAAACACTTACCACTTACTAGCTGTGTGACCCTGGGCAAGTCATTTAACCCTAATTGCCTTAAAAAAAAAAAGAACAATCTAATGTAAGGTCCCAAAGGACACCAGCTATTTTTGTTTTTCTCTCTGAATCCCTTGTATCTAGCTATAGAGAAGTTGATCAATAAAAGCTTGTTCTGAATGTCAAAGTTTTGACATGCCAAATACTTCACATCAAACACTGAGAAAAAGTTAGTTCTAATCATCTTCTGGAAGAAAATATTCAAGCTCTTAATGCATGAGACTTCTGCCCTTTGGCTTCTTCATTTCTTGATCCCCACCCATATTTTCCACTAACTCTGTCCTTCCTTGAGCAAACTTTCTCAATACTGTCAAATTATATGTTCATTTGGTTTGCAGGATCTTGTTAAAGCCTTTAGAGGACTTTTTGGCTTCTTCATCCCCTGGAATGTATGTTGTCATACTACCTACATTTACTATCATGGTATTATATTTGTGTAAGTTCATCATGAGCACTTCTAGGTAACGTATCTAAAAAAATTAGGTTTCTCTTTGCCTCTGGGATCATAATGAAAAAGCTCCTTTATTTGCCTTTTCAACTGTAACCTGCATACACTCCTTCCATTTAGCTATAGTTTCTCTGTGTTCTGTTTTAATTTATTAAAAGAACAACAGTATGGATTGTAAGGGAAACAGAGATGACAGGAGGATATTAACCATTGGTTGGTTGCCTGACCATCCCTTCCAACTGAACCCCATGCATAGGTAAGAGACACAATCTAGGAGGTGTAACCTCCTAGATTGGATGGAGTTGGGAGCAAAAAATAAATTCAGATGTGTATGTCATTTGATTGTTTTTTCAGATTGTCATTGTCTAGTTCACTTTCCTATTTCCTACCCCTTTCAGAACAGAAGGGAAACCCAGAGTTCACTAAACAAGACACACAAGAAGGTATTGAAAAGAGAAAAAAGCTGATTTACTATTGAAAAACTGATGGTAGTTTAATGTTAAGTAACAAAGCTGATTAAGAGGCAGGAAACCATAGACAAAGAGAGATTTTTCACCTGCTTTACTTACTTGATATCCCTAAATTCTAAGTATTAAAATCAATACAAAGGAGTGGGTAGAAACATTTTCAACCGACCAACAAGGATGCTATGAAGGCTGATGACTTTGTATAAACAAATCTATGTAAGTCACACTATCAGAAGGAAGAGCAAATACAGTGAAAACAATCAGTAATTCAAAACTGTTTATTTGTGACTTTGGGATAGACCCAGAGACAGTTCAGATTAATTCCCTGAGATTCTACAGGTAACTTATTAAGCAGATAAAATACAGTTATAGATGATGAAGGGTTGCTAATGTTAATATAGTATTTCTGAATCCTTAGTTTTGAAGTATATAATATGCATACTTATTTACTTCATATAAACAGAGGCTCTAATAAATTAGCATCCCTCCCAAGATTCCCAACATAAAAAGCCTGCCACAGAGATGCCAGCATAACCTATTGCATTCCTGGAGAGCTCCATTCAGAAATGCCTGTGTATTTACTTTTATGGGTGAATGAACTGTACTACAATTCTGTCAACAAAGACAAAATAAAATCACGCCCTTAAAAAAAAGAGGCAGCAAAAGGTCTTAGACCAAAGGATAACCCAATAATTTCAAATTAAAGAAATCTTACTCAAAGCATATATTAATGCAACAGTAACAAAACAATGCCATATTTTCTTAGTGTTTACAGCCTCACAAAAGTCGTGTAGATACAGAACAAATGGAATGCAAATAAGCATTCAACCATACATCATATAGACATAGCATTAAAAACCTTTTGAATTAAAAGAAGTGAAATTCATTTAACTCTCTTTAAGTTTCAAAAACATGAAAAGCTGAGCTTTTGCATACATTAAAACCCCTTTGAAGTCAAAAGAATAATAAGAAAATTTAATGTGTATGCAATTTTAAAATATATACATTACTTTAGGTCAAGAAAAATATAGCAAAATAAGATACTGCAGTAACTTTAACACATATTGACATAGAGTTATTTTTTTTTTAAAGTAAAAAGGCATCTCTTAACATTCATATCCCTTCTACTTACCATACTGGAGGGCTTTTAGTGGAAACCAAAACAGAATAACTGAGTGGAAGAGGCCATTTAAACAATGAACCCAGAAAACCTAAGGGAAAACAAAAATCCATGAGAACCATTTGCGATAAACTAGCTCTATGAACTCTGACCTTTCTTTTTATCTGTGGGCTAGATTCACAAAATGTGTTTCTGTCAGGCCACCACTGTGAACTAATAGAAGTGACAGACACTTTTTGCCTCTTAGCCCTTCATGGGTCATTTATTTATTTTTATGTTTCCAAAAGTGTTTATTCAGTTTCACTTTTAATCTTTTTCTCTTTTTTTGAAAACCTTGAAAGAATATACCAAGTTTGATACTTGTTGAATAAAGACAAATAAAATTTAAAATTAAAACAGACCAAATTCTTTGCATGAGAATTATTTCCATATTTCCAAGAGAACATATACCTTTGAGATTCATTTAATCTTCCCATGCAAGGTTAGAGGTAAGGATTCATAACAAACACAAAATGCTCTATGTTTAAAAAGATCAGTATAAAATTTTGAACTAAAAAAATTGAATATAAAGTTGTACGATCTTATTCAAAAGACTTCCTAAATTTTTTCTTAACACCTGTCAAATGTTAAGTGGAATGCCGCAAGTCATAGATATTAACATTTCATAAAAGTCAAATAACCTACTTAAAGCAATTGCATTCTAAACACCATCACACAACCATCACTGGTGCTTTCTTTGGAATGGATGTGTGAAAGAAAGTTATAGAAAAACGATTTGGAACTCTTGTAGCCTTCTGAATGGTAATTAACTTTTCTTATTTAAAAGTGCTTCTTGCAAATGTAACTTTTGTTGTATAAAATTGGCATGTATTAATAGTTTTAAGCTGTTCAAACAACAGAAATTAAGTTGCCTGCCTCCCAAAATTTTCCACTGTGATCTCAACATCCTTTGTTAGCTTACTCAACTATACTGGATTGTATGATCCAATTTACGCTCCAATACATTACACATTTGAACTTGTGTTACTCATTAACCTTTGTCTCTTCTCCTCGCTATGTCATTACCACAAGTTTTATTTGACAGAAAGCACAGGTGGGTGCAAGAAAAATTAGTTCTACTTTTCCATTTTCCTGACCGATACTTATTGTCACATGCTAATCCTTTAACCTCTGTCATGACCTCATAACCTGTGACCCTTTTTACCATAACAAACGTATGCATCATCATTCAAGGCAACAATGCTCCCACACTCAGGACCCCCATCAACTGCTGTTTATACAACTATGTATTTTGTAGCCATTTGTCTCTGAATTTTCAAACACTTATATGGAATTTAATCGCAGAATTTTCACTGAAATCAATAGAAAATTTTATATCCTACAAAATAAAATGAGACAAAAGTGGGTAGCAAGGTCTAAAACTAAAAACATATTTGCTATTTAAAGAGATGTGTCAATAATATAAATGATTTAGTTGACTTGTATTTTTTGGGGATTTACAAATATCAGTTATTTTTGTTCTAAGAAAAGATAAAGAAGAGAATTTCCCCAAAAGTGAGTCTCTTAAATTCCAACTATCTGCTATTAAATATTCTAGATCCTTTCTTAGTACTTAAACAAAGATAAATATATGAAATTAATTAAGCCAATGTAGTTTTTACATTTCTCATATAATATTGTAAAGTTTTGCAAATACTTACGTTGCTAAGTAATATTGTGAAGCACACAAAAAGGCATGCTTTATTTCATTGCTTGTTTAAAAAACTAATTACTTACAACCAAATATAGGGCAAGTTGGTATATTATTTATTTAGTCACCAATCTGATATATGGAATATCTACAAATAATCTGATTTTAGCTTTTCTTTACTATACGAAGCCAATTCCTAATTTTGCCAGTGGAGGAAATTAGAATATAGAAATCTTTCTAATATTTATATGTTATCACCAAAAGAGAGTCACAATTTTGTCTTTGAAGCAAGTAATAATGGAAATGTGGAAAAATATAATTGACAATCCGGTAGTTGGATATAAAAGAAATCCATGATATATTTATATGCTGTTTTAAAATGTGTTGCATCTCATATATAACCTATATCAAATTGGTTTCCTTCTCAATGATGGGGGAAGGAAGGGGAGAGGGAAAGGAGGGAGGAAGGAATTTGGAACTCACAATTTAAAAAAAAAAACAAATGTTAAAAAATTTTACACGTAATTGGAAAAATAAAATATTTGGAAAAAGAAAAAAATAAAATGTGCTACATCTGATCCTTATCTAGTGGCATGTAAACTATGATTCCTTTTCCCTTTAGTCCATAGCACTGTTTGTTGTGTGATATTAGAAACATCATGACATTTATTTTTCGGAGACCTCCCTGAATTAGACAATGCTGAAAAGTATCACATGGTTGGTGAAAAGACAGGCACCACTTATATTGGCAGATCTCACTAATCACTAGGATCACGTTTAAATACACACATACATAGAAGTAGCTATAAAATCAAGAGATAAATTAAAAGTACACTAAATTACACATGCAATAACTTTGTAAGAATTCACAAAATTCAGTGTATCTGTAATGATAATAATGACTAAACTCATAAATGTTAAAATTTCAATAGGACATGATCTTTTTTTTTTATAGCATATATTCTTTTCCCATCTCTATGGAACCTACATATGTGGGGAGGGAAAACCAACACTGATGAAGGTAATGATGAATATAAAACACTTAGAGAAGAGAACAAGGCAGCAAGTCATGAAGCCTATAATTTTGAAAGATGAGAACAGTATCTAGGCTAGAACTAGGCAAATAACTAGCACTCAAGAACTTTGTTATCTGAAGAGAGAGCAAAAGTTTGTGCTTCCTGTATGACATAGTGCAAAAACTCCAACATGTGATTATAGACTGTAATATTGCACATATGCTAATTTCACAGGCAGACAACATGGTAGAATGGATAAAGCAATGGTCTTACAGACAGGAAGGGCTCAGTCTGGCCTGGACACTGGCTGTATGACTCTGAATGGGTCCCTTAATCTCTCAGGGTTCTAGGCAATACTCTGAGGCTGTCAGTTGAAGGTGAGAAATGACCTGCAATGGCAGAATTAGTTTCCTCATATGGGAGCAACCTATATCAATGACATCTCTGGTCTAGTTCATGTCCTCTATCTAATTTAACATCTACTTTTGTAGCTTGGAAAAGTTGAATGTCATTATCTCTTTGTTCTTCCTCAAAGTCAAATATTTAAAGCCATAAATATGACCTGAAATTAAAATTAAAATGACATAATTTTGTATGACCCAAAATTAATGGAGAATGATAGAAAGCTCCACCCCCTACAAACATAATGACAGCCCTCATTGTCCTTTGCTTCACTTTTCCACAGAGGTCAGTAATCCATTTCCACACAATGTCGCAAGAATACAAGACCAGAAGACCAAGGGGACAATCACTTCTGACTACCCAAGACAGCTTCATTACCAGCTAGTAAAAACCAAACACTGTTGGGTAGCAGTTGTACTTTAAAAAAAACCCAAAAAACCCTGCCAATGTATTATCTTAAATACATATGTGTGTGTGTGTGTGTGTGTGTATGTACATATACACACATGCATATACACATGCATGCAATATATCTGTATATATACATGTATATGTGCACATAAGTGTGTACACACATGTATGTATATTTATATGACTTACAATCATCATGAAAGGTAACTTATTATTACTCTAAGAGTAATCTCATCCTTTGAAGGCGTATACCAAATGGGAATCTAGATATTATCTGAATCATAAAACAAATTGTATCATGAGCCCAATTGAATTTTCCCCCTACCTTTGTGTTGAAATCCAATGCATTCTGAGAAGTTTTGTATAATTCCGGATACTTCAGCATATTCTCTTTTCGACAAGATCTCTCAAATATCCCAAGAGTAAGTGGAGGCATTGCTGTAAACATCTAAGCCAGACAAAACATAAGTTTTTAAAGTTTTAAGTGTGAGACATCATTAGCAAGCAGCCAAATGAAGAAATATTCATCACAAGTTAATAGCAATTGTAAGCAGCCTACATAGCAAGCTTACCACATTGTAAAGGCCTATACACCAGCGTTCAAAGAGAATTTGTCCAGAAAAGCCATTTACAAAGGCAAACCAGATCTGAAAAAGACAAAACATAAAAATATACATTTGTCAGTTGGTTAGATATTTAAGATACCTTACATAAGGCCACTGAGATTATATTTAAAATTTTATAGCTCTTCTCAACTAGATTTCAAAATAGTATTTCTATTATGACTTTATCTTTCTGCTTAAATGAATGCATTCAGAAGGCATTTGCTATTTAGGTCAACATTTGTCTAACCTAATTAGTTCTGTTGACTACAGCCTGATATTATGTTGTGTACAGATGGGTAAGAAATAATTTTGTACTGATAACCTCAATATTGGCTTTTTAAAATAAATTTAAATAAAATAAAAACTTGTTTCTAAAAGGTACTCTAAAATTTAAGTATATGTAGAAATACATATGCATATATGTATATTCATAAGAGGTTTTTAGGTACTTCAGGTACCTTGTGTTAATTTATTTTAATAACATGCCCCACACTTTTTGTAGTGATGAAATTACACTTCACAAAATTTTTATACATTAACACAAACTTTTAGAAAATTATAAATCAGAATACAGAATTAAAACTCAAGTTCTTAACTTTTTTTTAAACTAAAATTTCATACTTTAGTAAGAAAAATTCATCTTAGATGCTAGGGCATAATGTTCTCCTAGCAGCACTGAAATTTGTAATTATCCTCTAACTTGGATCACTGACTTTGGGATGTTGATGTCTAAAGCAGAAAAAAAATGAAAATTTTCCCTTCAAAATATTCAAGTCAAATGGAAAAAAAAATTATATAGTGAAAAAGAAGAAGTTAATTTTTTTAAAACAGGAAGGCGTTAAATAGTGTTCTATGTTCATAAATGCTTTCTTACAACAGTGAAAATAGAGTAGGAATATAATTTAAAATCAACTTTATCTGAAACAGTAGAGAGGTTGGCTCAGCAATAAGATTACATAAAAAACAAAACCAAAACCTGTTAAAAGAAAGCTGGCCTGACATGCTGGTCAAGTGAATTTTAGAATCAGTGTTGCAGAGACTTTGCTACACTTCACGTTTCATTTAACCTCATTATGGAAGCATGAATTGCTACAAATTCACCATTTATCAATATGTGCCCAGGCTGGCCTCCAGACGAAGAACTCTTGTGCACAAGCTGCTCTTCCTCCTTTTTATCATGTGAGGGAATGAGTGAACATGTATGAAAACAAATGTTGCCCTCGTGAGATGGAAAAGACAACACACACACAAAATAAGTCCAAATTATTTTGGGACTGTGACATAAATGGACAAAAAAAACCAAACCAAACCAAACCATGTACTTTCAAAGCTGAAGCCGAGATCGTAACTGTGCATGTCATTTATTTGTCTAAAAACTCTGAACAGTGTGCCCATAATGGGAATTGGAGAAGTTGCCCATGCAAACTTGAAATATCTTGGCATTTCCACTTGAGCTAAGATTATTCCTCAGGGTTGTGCTTTAAAAAAACATTTTTTTTTGTATAAGTATACGCAAATTGATGAGACAGACTTTAATGCTGTCTATTGTGTTGCACATTTGGCCTTTTGCAAATGTGGATTATGTAAATACATATTTGTGATACCCACTGTGACAGTAATGGTCCCCCTTCAAAGCCACTACAGCCTATTGTATTAATACATACTAAGAAGCTCTTTCAGAGTTCTTTGAGTATCATGGAAATATATACAAGGACTTTAAAAAAACAAACTTTCAATTATAGTCTCAGTAGACTATGGGGAATCTTTCCAAGCTCTTGTGGTGTGAAGAGAACTGATGTCTTTGCATACCAAATTCACTAAACGGACATAATTTAACTTGAGGTTTTTCTTTACAAGTGCACATGATATCTTTAATATTGCATGAGAAATATGCAGTATCAATTTTTGGGGGTGTTGGAGAGAAAGAAAACATTGGAAATGTGAATAGCATCTTCTTGTTTATACAAAAATATCAGTATGGATCAAAAAGGTAGTATAAACAGAAAATGAGAAAAACTTCAACAAAACAAACTACAGAATTATGCATAAATCATTATCATTACTTTAATAATTTTAAACTTTAAAATAAGTTTCAACTTTCAAATTAAACTAACACATCTAAGTTCACACTACATATTAATTACAATTTAAAATGCATCATCTAGTGCCTTGTAGTAGAAGTGTTGAGATACTTAAATTGGTAGTATCAACACATTCTTACCTTTATTATTTTACCTACTAAAAGTTACTGTGAAATGAATTCACTGCCTTCTAAAAAAGCCTTTTAATATTTTAAACCAGAATCATTTTGGAGTTTAGTAAATAAAAGTATAAAATGATATGTAAATAAAAATTTTCATGTAACACCATTGTTATTAGTTATCTGTAAGTTAGGACATTTTGCATCAGCAAAAAATTCTTTTTCTTTAATGTAAGTGGTATTTCAGCCCTGCAAAGTCATCTTTTTGTTATTTTTAATCTTGTGAATATTATGCTATTCAGGATCATAACATTAAGATAGATTAAGGAATAATCTGATACTAAGTAAAAGAATGCCTAACTTCACATAAAAACATTAAAGTTTTGTCTTGAGCTGAACCAAAACCAAGGAATTTCGAATGAGAACATGACTACTCTGAGGGATTCTACGTTATTTACAGCAAACACTCTCTCCAAAGAGGGCCAGTAACTTGAATGAACATATGAGTGCTGGTTTGTAGTTGTTATTTGCAGCTACTTTATATTGAGACTCATGAAAACGAGATCTGGATATTTGATTTCAATTTAAAGGAGCAGAATAGATTATGATAACAAACTACCTGTCCATCCATACCCTTCTCTCCAATATTCCCTCCCACCAAAATAAAGAGGAAGATGGAAAGGATATAAGAAAAGATGGTTATGAAAGTGATTTTGCAAGTTATCCCTACCGCTCAAGACAATTTCTTTATTAGCAAAGAAACTTCAGACCTGCCTCTCTCTGTATTATTTTCTAAATTCCAAGGCACAGCAGAGGCGTGGCAGCAAAAGCCCCACAGACATGTTCCTGATGTAGCATTTCTGCATATTAAACAGCAGCTTACAAATAGTCAATGAGTTCTCTGCTCCCACGCCTGATCAGCACAAAAAACTGAAAGAAAAGATTCAAGACTGGCAGTTGTCCTCACTGGGGACATTCAATGATGTATTTTTGGTCTATTCATTCACAGTATTGACATGAGCCATTAACATCTGCAGAACTTGTTTTAGCTGGCAAAAGTTGGGTATCTGGGAATTGATTTAAAAGGTCAACTTGTTTCCAAGATAGCTGAATTACATTTCTTTAAAATACATTTCCATGAAGTTCTAAAAGAAAAATACCTAAAAATGAGATTTCCCCGAGGTTTATAACCTGTTTCCTTTTTAGAGTGTAAAGAATTTGATAAGTATTAAAGTATTAAATCTCTCATGATGAACTTTCAAATTCAAAGCCAAATAAAATTGAAGACTAACCAGCTCTGAATCGCGTACCCTCCGGAGTATACAACAGGCCATTCAAACCTAGTTATCATTAATTTAGGTTAAAAATATTTCCTTTTCCCTCCATTAGTCCCCAAATTGTAGTCACTTAATTGTTTAATGTCAAATAATCTAGACCAATATAAAGGATCCAGCCTTGATTCTCATCCTTAATTTTGTTAAATTATATTTTTGTAAACTGATTTATTGTTGGTAGTAGTTATACTCCACACATTCCATGACCTCTACCAGGAGTTTCATAAGAGAAATCCATTAAGAGACATTCTTTCAAAACTTTGGGGTGAGGGAAAGAGAAAAATTAGGAACCTAGAGTCTGCTTTAAAGCATTAAATTATATACTAGTCTAATCCAGTCCAGTCTCCTCCTCCTACATGACTTTGACCTCAGCCCACTGCCCATGAATAGCAACTATCTAAGGTATATACATATGTATGATGAAGTAACTAGATGGGTTGTATGTCTGCTCATATGATACAATTTGGACAAAATTATACACAAACCAAAATTTTCATGAAACACTGTGGCACTTTCAGTGCTCCTAAGTTGCTTGATGTTATGAAAGCCAATCTCTAATACCAAAATTCTTACATGGCTATGAAACTCAGAACATCATGATTTCAGAAGACTAAAAATGGTAAATGACCCAGAAGACAATGGAAAGCTGCACAGTGCTATAAATATAACTTGTAGCAGGGTCCAAACAATGAAGTGTATGTAAGGACTGACACAGAAGTGTTCATTAAGGACATGCATGACTAGCAAAGGAAGCCAAGTAGTTATACAGAGAGTTAGGTACAGCATGTAAAACAGGTCCAAGTGCTATATATTGTTCTGCTTGAAATACTAAAAGAATCAGAGGATGAATGGCCACTAGATTGTTGGGTGACCCTTTGAAGAAAGTCCATGGATAAGAATCTCAAAAGGGTGGGCAGACATGAAGGGGTTGTAATCTATGAGAATGGAGGGAATGCCCAGACTGATGAAATAATAAAACCCATCTAAACAACAAAAATCTAAATATAAAACTTATCTAAAAACTACTTGCTTATCTATTCAACAATTGATTTACTGGGGTGTGTCATGAAAGTGTTCAAAAGAGGTTAATTATGTTGCTTTCCAAATACAGGCCAATACATAGCAGGGAAGAGCAGTAAATAAGTCTGTAAATTACCTTGAATGTCTGTTTAAAACAAGCTAATTATTTGGTTTGTTTACGCCACGTGTTTGCTTTTACTGGCCATTAAATAAGCAGTACTTGTGCTTTTTAAGCGTGTCTGAGTTTTACTGGTTTTACATCTTATGGCAAGTAGTGAACTTCACTTAACATTTTCATACAGTTCAAGGCACAGGATCTTAGGATGACAGGATCACAGATTTAAAGTTGGAAAGGGCCCTAGAGGCTTTCAAGTCCCAGGCCCTCATTTTATAAATGAAGAAACTGAGGCTGGCAGAAGTTAGATAGCTTGCTCAGGGTATTAAGCTAGTGTCCGAGGCAGGATTTTAACTCACCTCTTCCTAACTCCAAACAGAACAAGCTCTCCTCTGCCCCTGTTACCATAGTTTAAACTAATGAACTCATAGCTTTTTCTAAATGAAGTAAAAACAGTTGGATAATTCCTATACCTGCTCATTGGGCATCTCTATTGGGACATTAGTTGGCACATTTTGTATAAAGTATTAAATTGTATTTTCATGTTTTATTTTGTTAGACTGCCCTTTTTCATATTTCCCTCTGCAATGTAGAAATGCAGTCTTTCTAATTCTCTGATGCACAGATCTTGGACCCAATAACATAAATGGCTCTAGGAAAGCCCTTGGCTGATTTATGAGGAGGTGGTAGAATCTGACTCAATACTACCTTAATGGTCGTGGAAGATGGAGGATTTACCCCGAGTTGTAGAGGGCACATGGACATGCCATGCAGAGCTGGAGAGTGAGAACTACGCAAAATATTTACATATTATTTGTTCACATATCACCAATGTCTACACAGGACCAATATGTCTTCTGTTGATAAAAAAATTCAATTTTCATTTTTTAACAAAAGGAAATATGCATTTATATACTACCTATTCTGTGTAGGTAAGCACTGTAATAAGTGCTTTTTGCAAATAATATCTCATTTGATCCATATAAGAACCCTGAAATATTTTTACACTTGCCAGAGGCACATTAGATTTTTAACAATTTTTACTATTTTCTTTTTGTTCAATTGGGATAAGAAAAATTAAGATTTTTTAAAAATAGAATTGAGGTGGTAGTACATTTGGTTTTTAATACTTTTCAAAATTTGGATGTGGATTTTCCTAATTAAAAAGTTACAAGAATGAAGGATCATAAATTTAGAACTGAAAGACACTTTTTTAAAGTCATCTAGTCCATTCCCTTCATTTTTATAGATGAGGAAATATAGGGCCTGATGATGTACAATGACTTGCCTAAAGTCACACAAGTAATAGATTTCAGAGTATTCTCTGGCTCCATACCCTCTGTTCTTTAAACTGTGCCAGTCTGCTTTCCAGTCTTAACAGTTATTAGGCTCTTACCTCAATAATATAGAGCACTATGTTCTTGTAGAAGCAATAGAGGATACATTTGGACACTCGGTTGTAGTTCCAGGCTCCATGGACCATCAGTAAGTTCTTCAGATACTTAAACTGAAATAACAATATGAAAATTATTAATAGGGCCCAGCCCTATAACTGAACTCATCTAACAAGGGTCACCCTTTTCAGCAATAATATCTTACCTGTGCTATGGAGTAATCAGAAGAATTAGCTGCCTGCAGTCCTTCATTGCCACTTATGCCAACACCAACATGTGCTGTCTGTATCATGCTAACATCATTTGCTCCATCCCCAATTGCCAGTGTTATGACTTTAACTTGCTTTTTAACCATCTCTACAACTTCAGATTTTTGAAGAGGCGATACCCTTAAAGTGAAAGTAAAAAGTTAACTCAGACTTTTGAAAAAAAAGAAAAGACATTCTGAAACCAACCACCTTGCTTTAAACAAGGTCAAGAATGTACTATATCTAAATAGATGATGATATGAAGAATCTCTAGGGATAATGCCTTGGGTCTTAAGTTTTATAAGAATTTGACCTTTTTTTAGTGAAATTTTTTTTGAAAATGAAAAATTCAGAGTTTTGAAACATCCCACTTATAAGTGAGCTGGCACTGTATAGGTTCAGGTTTAAAGCTGTGGTCCTTAGGTTGGCTCAGTTTCGAAGTTCTAAAACAGATGGAATGATATCTGCATGAACATGTAGAAGGAGCAACAATGCCAAAACTTAAAATCTGGTGCAGAAATCACCGTTACTTTTAAAAATTGTAGGTGGCTCCACATTTCTGAATCTAATAACAAAGGTTAGAAAAATTGTAGAATGACATTCAAAAGGAAAGCTTTACAAATCCTAACTATGGACACACATAAAATAAAATATTCCTGAATCTTTATAACCTGGTCTAAGGAGATCTATAATATGCATAACAGAACTCACTCAATATTTCACTTTAATTAAAGGTAAGGAATCATCTGACTCTTTGACCTATCCTTAAATACAGTGAAGAATTTGGAAAAATTCCATGTAAGCATAAAAACCAGGAGCCCATTTACAGAACAGCTATTCATTCCCCCTATTTCCCAAAGCTTTTGATTGACAAATTTTGTAAAAAAAAAAAAAAAAAAAGGATTCAAAATCATTGCTAGAGACTTATGTTGGAGGCAGAAGAATTCAACGTTGTTATGAAACATCATTCTGTTTTAACTTTGGGCCTGATCTGAAATTAAATCATTCATCAAAATCATTATAAAATATATTAAGGCTATTTCAGCATAGAAATAACACCCAAGACAATCATAAGAGGGTTCATAGAAAGTGCAGGAGCTTACTTAATTTTGAAATGACAAGCCTATTCTATATTAAGGGATTTCATATGAAAGAAAAAGGGGAGAAGAAATGACTAATTGACTCACAAAAAAGTTAGATGGTGATCAAATGTTACACAAAAACTAACATATAAAGTATTGTGAAAAACAAAAGTCAGAGAATCATTCAGGAGTTAATACAGCATAATTGTTTTTTGAATGGAAAAAATACCCACTTGATTACATGTTATTTGTTATATTCAGAAATGAAGCTGTTTATGACACTCAATGTGGACATAACTGAGAAAAGGAAGCAACTTTTCTGACTTTGTGAGTAAAATAATAGGTCTTGAGTTTGCAGCTAACTGCACCTGCTGCGTGGTAAGGCTGTTGGTTTGTCGCTGTCTCAGGATCTCTAGGCAATGGATATCACCTTTATTTAAAAAAATGGCAAGTTGCCAGGTATACTAAGTTGGGCTGGTAACTGGTACTAATTCCAAAGTTTCCATAATTATGTCAAAGTGTTTGAATTAGTGCTTTTGTTTCCATCCCTTCAATGCGATGATACATGTAAGGGGCTTGGAAAACCTAAATGATGATGATTATAGTCTTCCTACTTGGCTTCTCATTCTTCAATAATCTTTGCATTATGCTGACATTCATTCTCTACAGTGATGCTCTGATATGGAACTAATGTATCAAGCATCTTTAGATAGTGGCAGATTAGCTGCTCTCTAACATGTATTCCATTTTACTGTCACTTAATATTGAATATAGTTCATAGCTAACATGAAACTTCAAGAAGATGGATATGATATTTTATGGCAAGTTTTTGCCTCACTAGTAGGTTGAACTAAGGTGTTGATAAAGAAACCATGAGTGACTTCTTGATCACCATCACTATTCTGAATTTTAAAATCTGATTGTGTGTGTGCGTGCGTGTGTGTGTGTGTGTGTGTGTGTGTGTATGGTCCAAATATGATATGGACATGAACAGAATAAGGGAATGAGTGAGATCCTGAGCACATAATGGACTGATTATATTTTTCCACCATATATTCACTATATATTTTCCCCAACATATTTTTCATTCCTTTTACTTAATTTGCTTCATTTTTGTAACATGATAACTATAAATATGAAAGCCCAGTGGACAAGGTCAAATCTTCTCTAGAGACAAGACATCCTTGACTGCAAGCTGGGAGGAACCTGAATGACCTAATCCAAATTTCTCATATATTGAGGAGGAAACAGAGAACCAGAGGGGAAAACTGAATGGCCCAAAGTCACATGGCGAGGAGGTGGTAGAACCAACTCTGAAACCTGGATTATCTAACCACAAATCAAGTAATCACCACCACCTTGCACCACTTTGGCTGACACCAAATGTGATCTAAAAAGCAAAAACTGAATTATCATGGAGCAGAATGAACGTTTGAAATTCCCTACCAAGTTTTCTTTCTATTTGGGTTTTAGAGTATATTCACATTATAATATATTCCATCTTACTAAGGAACTAAAATACTATGAAAGTATGTCCACAAACTGAAATGGCACATTGAGGAAAACGTGATCAACTATTACTAACAATTTTAAGAAATAGCCAACTCCAAATGGGCTGGTTTTTATCTTCTACCATAATGACTAGCGCCATCTATAAGGAAGAAAGGAAGGAAAGATTTATCAAGCACCTACTATGTGCCAGTCACTGTGCTAAGTGCTTTATAAATATCTTATTTGATCCTCACAACAACCCCATTATTATCTCCATGTTACAGTTGAGGAAACTGAGGCAAATAGTAGTTAAATGACTTGTCCAGGGTCATATAGGTAGTAAGTATTTGAAACCAGATTGAAACTTGGGTCTTCCTGACCCCAGGCCCAATGCTCTATCCAGCTGCATAGCCTAGCTTCCTCTAGGCAGTAATTACTGTTGGGCTTCAAGTTGGCTTCTAGATTGGCAATCAGCTATATTGGCCCAAGAATTCAGCTCCTAATCACACCAGAGTTGAACAGTCTTGGCAGACCAGTTCTTGCTAACCCAACACAAAAGACTGATTTGTGAACAACCCTTGCTGCCACCCACCCCACAGTATTGGATATATATTGCAACAGACTGCCACACAGCTGCCACTGCGTAGGAGTCAGCAGGTGTAAGTCTGCAGAAGGAACTAAGATCAGATGGCTTGCTTGGCATGCAAGGAGCTGTAATGCTCCCAAAATCTGGTTCTCTTTAGATTATGAAAAACCTACAAACTGATATATTTATTGAGCATAAAATTACGTTTGGGCACTTTTGTGAGACATGAAAAGAACAACTACTTGGCCTCAAGAAGTTTGCAATTTAGCTAAAACTAACAGACAAAGCAATTAGAGAACAGTTTGCAATTTGGCAGTAAGGCTTCAGAGAAGACAGGCCAAGCAGTTTGGGTTGAAGACTTAATATTAAAAAGAAGTTTCAGGGAGAAGTAAAACTCTATATTATTTCAATATATAATTGTCAAGTGCATACTTGGAAGCAAGGCAGTGTATGATGCTCGATGAATGCTATTCAACACAGAGATAACAAAATATAACACAATTATAAAACAGGATATGATAAAAGTATAGGGGAGGTAAAAGGACTGTCAGCGATGTGTAAAGAGGAGAAGATCACTTCTGGGGGGACGTCAGGAAAGGGTTAAAATAGGAGGTAGTCTTTGAGCTGAGTAGAATGGGGCATATTTGATTTTTATTTAAAAAATCATCTCACTTTCATTGATGCCTTTTGTTTTTAAATCACATTCATTTTTGAATAAATACTCTCCTCCTTACCCTACTCAGCGATCTATCCTTTGGAACGAAGACTTAAAAAAGAAGGGAAAAGTATAGCCATATTCTACACCCAAAGTCCCCCCACTAACTTCTGCTAAGAGGAAAGGGAGATACATTTTCTTAATTCTTTTCCAGGGGCTAGGCTTAGTCATTATAATTACATATCATCCAATTTCATATTTGTGTTATTTATACTTAAATTGTACTCGTTTTTTCTAGCTCTGTTCTGTTTTTTCTGTATTAGTTCATACAATTCCTCTCATGCTCTTCTTAATTCTTCATATTTATTGATTCTTAGAGTGCAGTAAATATCTTATGACATCCATGAACTACAATTTGTTTGGTCATTCCCCAATTCATGAATTGCCCTTGACCCACTCCAATTCTTTGTCATCACAAAAGGGGCTACTATGAATATCATGGTGTACACAAACCCCAACTTCCTTTTTTTCCCTCTGACTTCTTTGGAAGTATACGCCTTTAAGTCAGACCTCTGGGTCACAAGGTAATACTATTTTAGCCTAAATCCAGACTGGTTTGTAGAAGGTCAATGGTCTAATTCACAGCTTCGCCAAAAGTAGTATATTAGTGAGCCTGTCTTCCAGCAATGGAAGGGGAGAGATTTGATACTTAAAGAAAGGGAGTTTACATTCCAGGTATGAGGCACAGCCTAGATAGAAGGCATAAAGTCAGGAAGGACTAAGACAAGTTTGGAGAATAACTAGTCCAGTTTAGCTGGAGTGTACAGGGCTTGGCAGTTCTTAAAAGATGAGTTCTATTTTGATAAGTATAGGAAAAAGAATAAATTGACCCTTACTTATCACAGGACCAAACTTTTGAAAATAAAGGTTCCAATCATCTCCTGTGTGGGCAATACTTTATCAGATTCTCACCCAGCTTGTTTTTGGGGAAGTGTGTATGTGTTACAAGGGAAAAGGGTTCAGTTTTGTAGTAAGAGGATCTAAGTTAGAATGCCTTTTCTGTCACCCTGACTTTGGGCAAGTTACTTAAACTGACCAGGCCTTAGCTTCCTCGTATATAAAATGATTGTTGCCTATGTGACCTTTGAAGCTCCTTCCAGATCTATGATCTGGGCATTTTCTCTGACTGTTCCCCATTCTTGGAATGCTCTCCCCTCCTCTGCTCTGACCACTGACCTCCCTGGCTTCCTTTAAATTTCAACTAATATCTCATCTTCTACAGGAAACCTTTCCAAACTCCTCTTAATTTCAGTGCTTTCTCTCTTTT